TAGAGTTCGTGTGTGCAAGGTGGATGCCAACGAACTGAATGACTTTGGTCATCTCCTAGAATAAAAAACGCGCCTTCTTCTCCTCTTAGAAGACGAGAATGACATCGGCTAGATATTAGAGGTCAACAAGATTTTTTCCAGGAGCTATTGTAACATAAGGTTTTGAAGACATTTCAGCGTTGCTCACATTATATGTTTGACAGTGAGATTACATAGGAATAGAGAGTGGGCACCCCTACCGTACACCACTTTGTAGGTATTTCCTTATGTAATATCATACACCAGAAAGTTTGAGAAAACAATAAAAACTAGTCGTTGGTTTATTTGATGAGCTGGACAGTTCACTTGCAAACGTTTCATCACCAATCAAGGTGACATCGTCAGTGCGCTATTGGGAAAGTAGTGGTGCGTGACGATTGCTTAGCGGTTTTGCTCGATTCGTAATGGAACGTTTGCAGTCAAATTGCACAGTTCAGCGAACAAGTCAACGACCATCTACGCTACTTGAGTCACCAACATTTTCTTCTATAGAAAATACAAAACCCAGCATGTTCACAAATTACTGCACCATTAGGAATGACAACTCGGGATTCAACTTCTTAAATTGACTATCTAGAGTTCGGTGTCTTTATTGTCGCTTAGACGATAATGCCCGTGTTGCGGGCACATTTTCCTCAAACATCCGGTAAAATCCCACGCCCAAGTTTTCGTAATTATCAGGCGATCGACGGTTAGCCATGTGCAGGTTCCTGTCAAGTATCCGAGTTGGCCAATCTATATAGTACTCGCACTTTACTCGTTGCGGCACCATTGATTATATCTGCTGATTTTATGAGTTCATGCATTCAGTTTTGCCCCTAGCGCACATAAGTTGCATTAAAATCAAATATTTTTACGACGTATCACCTTTATTCCAAAAAAGAATTAGGGTGGTTCCGTAAAGATTTATACAGATCTGGCAGAAAATATGAGTAATAACCTATCGGAGACTTACCATTGCAGACCGCTCAAACTCAAAAGTGAGCTTAGAAACGACAGACGAATTTCGATGCATTTAAACATTACTATTTCGATTTCCAGTTCATTAGTCTGTATGAGTATGTATATAATTAGGCACTAGAAAGCCCATTGACCCAAATCGATCGGTATTGTAGTTGCCCTGATTCGTGTACAGGGGCCTAAAGAGAACTATCATAGTGCATGTAATGGCATCCTGTGAATGAAGGTTGTTGTAAGGATCTCAAAAGTGAGCAAGTAAAAACACGTGGCAGTGCAATGTGTGCACAGGACTGTACAGTGTTACGTGAGAAAGGTCTTGCGCAAAATATGGGGTTGATGATGTGCTAGTGCTTCGTTTACTAAGACAGGCAATTGAAAACATTGACCGTGATTAGTGGAGAGCCGTTTCTCCAAGTTTCCCCAAGTTTCCTTCCTGCGGACGCAGGTTCGAATCCCACCTCTGACAACTCACTTGTTCGTACGACACTTTACAAAATCTCCAAGCACGGTACGTTCGAACTCGGTTTTGTTTTTCCCTCGTGCAAATTTGTGGATGAATTTTTTCGCCGTTCAGTCTATTCACAACGCACACAAGAGTCATTGTTGGATTTTCTCACACTGACACAACCCTTGTTATTTTGCGCTCAGTTCCTATTTAGCACCCAGTCTCAATCATTACATCGATGAATACAGACTACCCTCTACTGCCATCGATAGACCACAGCAGATGTGGGCGAAAAACTTAAAACCCCGTATGGAATGCCACACCTGCAGGGCCTTGTGGCACTCTCAATGCATGGGTTTACAAGATGACCAGGTAAGCCAGTTAGCTAACTCTCCTGACCCGTTTGTCTGAGCCATCTGCCTCTACATTAAGGGTGC